GTTGCCACCAAGAGCAGCAGGACAAAGAACTGGCAGCAGGCATGGGTCAGGCCCAGGGAGGCAGGGTGTGGGGAGGGAGCAGAGAGCTCATGGGAGCTCGCAGACACAGCATCTCCAAGCCAGGAAGGCACAGGATTTCAGGGGGCCCAAACTACCCACTCAGTATCTTCACAAAGAAAATTTAATGAAAAAGTAAAATCCTTCCAGCTGTAGCCACTGGGAACTCTGCCAGAGTTTAAAGAGCAGTGGGAACCCCTAGACTAAACAGAAAACAAACAACAAATACTTTCCCTTGACCACGAATCTCCCGGTAAGTAAATCTGCCAGCGTCCAGGAGCATCAGCTGTTGTTTTTGCATGAGACTTGGTCTCCCTAGTCTTCCTGTCTGGTAGCTACTGACTTTCTGGAGTGCTTTACCTGACAAGAGACCATTTGCACCTAAGCTCAAGGGCTGGTTACAGGCTAAACTGGACATTAAAGCTAATTATATCCCACAAATTACACCCTCTTTGGGAGACTCCAGAGAAAGGTCTAGGCCAAGCGGAGTCCCAGGCCTGGTTGAATGGATGCACTACAGTTACAAGCTGAAGTGGATGCAGATGAGGCGGGTTACTGCTTAGAGCACCAAGGAGGCCAGACCAGTGACTCAAGTCCCATAAAGGAGGCTTGGTAAGTGCTCTGGGGGGGGGAGGGGGAACCCCAACCTGCTAGCAGATTCTGAATGCTTTATACACCTATTAATGAAAGATGACTCTTGGCTCTATCAATGATAACAGACATCCAAATGAAACAGGAAAGAAAATAAAAAGTGAATTATAGCATGGAATGACCTAGCTTAAGAGGGCATCTGGGCTAGAAGTACCACATCAGTTATTTCTTCCCTTGTGTAAGGCTCCAACCTCAGCATTTGAAAAATAATTGTTATTGTTTTCCCTTTATATTTTAATTTGCATTCCTCTATATTTGGTTGTTTCACAACAGCAGATTACAGTGACATATAGCAGCCTTTAAAGTATTTTGAAGACTTTTAATAGTATAGGGAAATGTTCATAATATAATGTTCAGTGAATAAAACAGACGACATAATCATCTATGTAATGTAAAGACTCATTTCATTTCAAGAATATTAAATGTATATATGGTTGGAAAAATTTTCTCAGAGTTGTGGGATTATGGGCCATTGTTCTTTCTTTGTACTTATTCAGTATTTGCCAAGTTTTTAACATATATATTATTAATACTACTAAAATAATTTTAAAATACACACAATATGACAGCAGGGTGCTGCTATGGGAAACAGGGTGTCCCAGCAATGGAAGGAGCCAGGAGTAACAGCAACCAAAGCTCTGGTGCATTAAATATGCACACCTTCCAAACCACACCTTCAACTAGGACAGCTGCTGTTTTAGGACCAAAGACCAGATGCTTGACCAACCTTTGTTTTTAGAATGAGGAGTTTGGGCTTTTAAGTGTGGAGTGGGCAGGAGGCAAGGGTTTGCATGACATGGAAGAGAAAATGAGGAACTGACATTAGGCTGAGAAAGTTAAATAAGCAACTCACGATTCCATTGCATTTAAAGGATGAATGAAGCTGGACACAGTGGCTCACACCTGTAATCCTAGCACAGGATTGGGAGACTGAGGGCAGCAGGATTACTTGAGGCCAAGAGTTTGAGACCAGCCTGAGGAAGAATGAGACCCTGTCTCTACAAAAAGTAGAAAAATTAGCCAGGCATGGTGGTGCACCTGTAGTCCCAGCTACTCTAGAGGCTGAGGCAGGAGGATCTCCTGAGCCCAGGAGTTTGAGGTTGCAGTGAGCTATGATGACACCACTGCACTCTAGCCCAGGTGACAGAGCAAGATTCTAACTCAAAAATAAATTAATTAAAAGTAAAGGATGAGTGAAGGTACAAACTGTGGGATCCTCAACCTGGAGACCTCATCATTTTCAAAATTTATGTAAATTCTGCCCATTCTTATGAGAATTTCTGTATGTGATAAGAACACCTTACACAAAAAGGTTACCATGACCTAACTCAAAATACCATGTGTTTCTCTCTAGAGTTCTTCTGACCCCTGCCAATATACAGACATCCATAATCTGTATTCTCATCCTCTCATCTGATTTTATTAGCACATTCCCTTGAATAAATGTGATCCATATAGACATTGTTAATAGCAACTCTGACAAAATTCCAAGCTAATCAATTCCTAATAAAATCACATACAATGAAAGCCTAGAACTATTTCTTAACTCTTCAGTGATCCTAGGAACCAGAGTGGATTTCCTTAGGATCCAGGAGATATGAGAAGCGAGGACGCTGCAGGTGCAAATCAGGCTCCCTGTGTGAATGTGACTCGCTCACTGTCCACTGACCCTACTCATTGGGCCTTCTGGGTCTTCATCTAAAAGACTGCAAGTTCAGGGTGTCCAGCATCCTTTTCTCTCGACAAGAAACTATATAAATACTTATAATCTTGATTAAGTCCCTATCATTGGCCAGGCGCGGTGGCTCAAGCCTGTAATCCTAGCACTCTGGGAAGCCGAGGTGGGTGGATTGCTTGAGGTCAGGAGTTCGAAAACAGCCTGAGCAAGAGCGAGACCTCATCTCTACTAAAAATAGAAAGAAATTAATTGGCCAACTAATATATATAGAAAAAAATTAGCTGGGCATGGTGGCACAAGCCTGTAGTCCCAGCTACTTGGGAGGCTGAGGCAGAAGCATTGCTTGAGTCCAGGAGATTGAGGTTGCTGTGAGTTAGGCTGATGCCATGGCACTCACTCTAGCCTGGGCAACAAAGCAAGACTCTGTCTCAAAACAAAAAAAAAAGTCCCCATAATTCATTTCACTGAATCACTACAGCTACTGTAATACCTGAACATGACCTTAATAAAATTGAAAAATAGCATAAAGGCAGATTTACTATCATCCTATAAGCTATCCTTGCAAAAATTCTGATCACTAAATTTGCTTTAAGGCTTAGTTTGGAGTTCAAATAAGAGTTTTCTCCTTTAGAATGAATTTATGTATAATAAGCTGAATACATGCAAAAGAACAAATTCCACTCTAAAGTTCTCAAACTATCACCCAGTTCAATATCTGAACTTTAAAGGGACAAAAAAGACACTGACTAATCTAAGTTTGAAAAAACACACTGACTACTCTAAGTTTAAAAACTCTCCAATTTAAGTTCTCTGAACTTCTGCACCTTAGAGCAGAACTAGAGCTGGCAGTCTCCGGGGCCACACCCAACTCTTTCTTGGAAAGGTGGCTGGGAGATGCAGCAGTTCACCCATGGCTACCGCGCTGGCCAAGCGCAGAGAGACAGCAGGGTAGGGCTGTGCTCCCCTCCACAGTGACACCCAATGAGACCCAGGTGCCAGCATTCTGTCCTTTAAGCCCACAGTCGCCAACCCCCAGGCCATGGACTGGTACCAGTCTGTGGCCTTTAGGAACTGGGCCCTATAGCGGGAGGTGAGTGGCAGGCAAGCGAGCAAGGCTTCATCTGTATTTACAGCCATTCCCCATCGTTGGCATCACTGCCTGAGCTCTGCCCCCTGTCAGATCAGGAGTGGCATTAGATTCTCATAGGAGCATGAACCCTGCCATAAACTGCACATGTGAGGGATCTGGGTTGCGCACTCCTTGTAGGAACCTAATATCTGATGATCTGAGGTGGAGCCGAGGCAGCAATGCTAGCACAGGAGAGTAGTTGCAAATACAGATTTTCATAACACACTTCAGGTGTCACTGTCTCCCACCACCTCCAGATGGGACCATCTAGTTGCAGGAAAACAAGCTGAAGGCTCCCACTGATTCTGCACTATGGTGAGCTGTATAATTATTTCATTATCTATTACAATGTAAAAATAACAGAAATAAAATGCACAATAAATGTAATGTGCCTAAATCATCCTGAAACATCTCCTACCACCACCACCCATCTGTGGAAAAATTTTCTTCCTTGAAACTGGTATCTGGTACCAAAAAGGTTGGGGATCACTGATTTAAGCCTTTAAATGACTCCTCATTCACTTATTATTAAATGATGATTTGACTTCTGTCATCAGAAGCTATGTCTCTATAATAGTAAGACATCTGCTCTTTGCAGTCAGTGTAGAAAAAAAGATGTTCAAATCTCCTGAGTGGTCTTAGTCACTGGCTGAGAATGGCAGCCCAAGAAACCCAGCCAGAGCTAAACTGACCAAGGGAAAGAATGGAAAGTGGATTCTTTGCCTTGGGGCTGAGGGGTTATCCACTGACCAAGCCTATAACCTGGGGGGAAAAAATGCAAAAACAGGCACATCTTGTGGAAGTGATGACACACTGAACTCTAACTGGAGTCATCAGGCCTGCGGTAACTGCAGGGTGGTTTTCTGACAAGGAAACACAAAACTAAAAGGCATAGCACAGTGTGGGACTGCTCCAAGCATCAAGTCAGAGAAAGTGAAAACGCAACAGATCAAAGAGGAATCACAGAGAAAATGCTCTCCCTCCGACTCTGTGTGGCTCTGACCTCATTTCGAGCTTTTAAGCACCACAGGCTGACCCAATTCTAACACTGTACACGTAAAGAAGTCCTGACGCAAAAACAAAAACAGAAAGACAAAAACCTCCTGGCTGAGAGGAAAGAGTGGAGAATACAAAAGGAGGGACGAGAAGAAAAGCAGCTCTCTCCCGTCCTCTGCAGCGCTGTGAGACTGTCGGCTCCATCTCTGGGGGAATGGAGGATTCCAGATCCATGTCCTGGCTCGGCTTAGTCCCGTCACTCCCCACCTCATCCAGTATGCTCTTGCAAAACACAGCGTGGAATACTGAGATGGTAGCCCACGTGGCTGGGGGCTGTCTACTTTCCTGCGACTGTAGACCCTCCGCCTTCCCCTACTCCAGTGTGCCTGAGCGCTACATCGGTACCGTGACTCACAGCAGCAGGGGGACTGGAGAGAGGCGGACATGAGCATAAGGACATTAAAAAAGAAAGGAGGAAAGAACACATACCTGAAGGAAGCGATTATTGCTGTAACTTCATCATCCGGATAAAACTGTGTAACTGCGTGATGTGCCCCAAGCAATTCCTTCCCATCTTTCCACCAAGAAATTGTGGTGTCCTGGTACCTATTAGGTACATTGATTGAGCAATTAAATTTGACATCCTTATGTTCAGAAAGCACTATGTGTCCAACCGTGTGATTAAATGCAATGGGTGGGAGAAGCTTCGACTCGGCAGAGGCCACCTGGGGGACGACTGTGTCTCCAGCATCTGGTCTTCCAGGCTGGGTTGGTGAAAGCATCAAGGCAGGCTGGTGCTCGCTGGTGTGGGGGAAGGAAAGTGGCATGTGGTCATCTTGCAGGCTCCTTGGCAAAGGTCGTGGGAATGTCAGGTGGGGCTTGGCTTCTTCCCTCGCCTCAGTGATAGCTGTAAAACAGAACATCCGATTTTTAGTCATTTAAATAATAAGGAAGAGTGTTCTTCAACTTTTAGGCCACGATGAGAGAGAAGCGGGGAATCTTCAATGCCCGCAGAAAAGATGAGCAGAATTCACTTCACGTACATGTCGGGACATGTGTTCTCATTCACCAGCTCATTCATTCATTCACTTGCCTCAGAAAGAGTGCTTAAGTATAACTTCCCCCAAACAAAAATAAAAATATCTTTAATGTTGACCCATTCCGAGTCCTTCATACACAACTCAACAGTAAAACAGGAAGGGGGTGGTACGGGAGGGCTCGAGATCACTTTTCTTCCTGTCTGTTCAGTCACAGACTATGCCACAAATTTGGCCAATAGTCTCGAAAAGGCTGCTAATGGTCGCAAAGAGATTAGTTTACAATTTTTGTGCTTCAACAAAAAAAGTGTCCTTTATTTTTCCAGCTATAGAATGACTTGGAACTTCTAGCAAAATGCCTACCTACTGAAATGAACCTGGAAATGTTCATTTTTTATTTTTATTTTTTGAGACAGAATCTTGCTCTGTCATCCAGGCTAGAGTGCCGTGGCGTCAGCCTAGCTCACAGCAACCTCAAACTCCTGGGCTCAAGGGATCCTCCTGGCTCAGCCTCCTGAGTAGCTGGGACTACAGGCATGTGCCATGATGCCTAGTTAATTTGTTTTTATTTTTAGTAGAGACAGGGTCTTGCTCTTGCTCAGGCTGGTCTTGAACTTCTGAGCTCAAGCAATCCTCCTGCCTCGGCCTCCCAGAGTGCTAGGATTATGGACATAGCACCCAGATCCATGTCCTGGCTCAGCTTAGCCGAGCCACAGCACCCAGCCTGGAAATGTTTTTAATTCATCCGGCCCACACAAGTATTTCTAAAAATACAGGCTCACAGTAGTTGTACTTTTTGCTTTTTTAATGCCATTTTGGGAGTATATGTTCTATGTTGGTTGTTATTTATTCAAATACATTGGCAGTAAGCAGGTGAGGCAGGCAGGGGAGAGAGACACAGACCCAGCATTTTGCGTTGTGGGTTAGTGACTGAGGGTACACAGCAGGGACCCTGCCCCCACGCAAGGGCTGGCCTCCTGCCATGCTCAGGACGTCACACCCTCCCAGGCTCTTGGGTATGAGTGTGTAGGGCATAGGGTTGTCTCTGCTTAGGGTTCTGCCAGATTTAGCAAATAGCACAGGCTGCCCAGTTAAACTTTAATTTCAGATAACAAATTATTTTTAGTATGAACATTTAGCTAAGGATTTATTTTTATTTTTATTTTTTTTATTTTTTTATAACAATGGGGTTGAAGGAGAAAGCTAAGGATTTAAATGGCTAACAGAGGCTTTAAGTTGGCTATCTAGGAGCAAAAGTGAGGGCATCTGGGAGTTTTTCCTCTAGCTTCCTCCCTGGCAAGCCACTCTGGACTGCAGGTGTGTGCCCCAGCTGAAGGCCAGAGCTCCAGTCTGGAAGCCCTCTCCATATAGCTCTCTCTGTCTCTGTCTCTGTCTCTGTCTCTGTCTCTGTCTCTCTCTCTCCAGGAACTGCTCCTTCTCAGAGCCCTTAGGAACTGCCTCCTTAGGGAGTCAGGATGAAGGTCAGGGGAGGACAAGAGGTTTCACTATAAGGATCCAGGAAAGGCTCACTGCTTTGCCTTAGCCTGAGGTCTGGGTGGGTGTGGGAGTGCAGGGCTCTGTGGGCTGGGGGAGGGCTATGTGGGTCAGCAGTGGGCAGGCCTGAGCCCAGTGGTCCAGACAGATGAGTGTGCTGCGATGGGAGCATTCATTTATTCCAGGGAGTGGCGCTCAGGGTGACTACAGACAGGGGCCCTTGCCTCTCCTGCCACCCACAGCCTGCAGGCCAGGCAAACCTTCTTCACAGGGTGAGCCTGTGCTCTCTGTAGGGCGAGGGTCTCAGACCCTGGGTCCCATCCAGCTCCCCCATCTTCCTCTGGGGATGCTTCCTGGGTAAAGAATGTCCTGGCTGTTATCTCATGCCTGCAGAGCCCCCTCAAGGGTGCTCTATTTATTTCTATGGCCTTTATAATTCACCTTTGCCACTTGGATGGGCAAACTTGCCTGCAGTTCTTCCTATTCACTGAGCTCCAAGGGACTGAGGAGTCAGAGGTTTCGTCCAAACAACTTTTTCTTTTTTCCTTTTAAATATAGGTCTCTTTCATAGAAGGAAAAAAGTGGAAATGGAAGAAGCAAATAATGCTTTCTTGGTTTGCTTGATTTAATTTATTCAAGAACATTTAAAAATTTTAATTATAAAGGTAACACAAGCTTGTTGTGAAAAAATTAAACTATTTATTGAAGCATTTGCAGTATAAAATGCAAACTTGTTTTGTAATCTTAACCAGCAAGATAACCTCTCATTACAATTTGGGGTATAACCAGTTTTCTATAAGCCAAGCTACTCACTGAACAAACTGCTGAGTAGGGGCAAGGCCACCCACTTGGGTGACGTCATTGAAGTCAGGCAGCAGACAAACCCAGCCTGTAATCACACAACACTCTGCATGTCTTAAAAGATAAATGATCTCCACAATCTGATTTGCCAGAAGTTGACAGAATGATTCAATTGCCAGCAAATATTTATATAGCATCTCCTGGGTTGAAGATTTGCTACAACAGTCTAACCAGATAAAGAAAGAGACTTGCCATCAAGCAGCCTGCCTGCAGATGGGAGGAGAAAGGCCTCCTGGGGGTGAGTTTCTGGTTTAGAGAAAAGGCTTTTACACCTGGAATCCTGTTGACATTGTGTCTCTGTTCCCCCATTCTCTCCAGGAAAAAGGGACGGACCTAGACCAGCATCTCAGCCACCCCATTAAGTGTGCACCCACCAGGTTGATAACTGAATAGGTTCCCTGGCCAGCTTCCCTGTCCCCTAGGTTAAGGGCTCCCCTCAACCCCTGCAGCTAGCTGAGGCCAAACCCAGAACAAACAGAAATTTTCTCTTTCTAAGTACTATTTGACTTTCTGCAAACCTGAGGGTCTCCTATTGATAAAGAGCAGCAACAGTTCATTACAGGAAAAAACCTTCAGCCAGAGGGTTGACTTGACTTGACTGATCAGTCCTTCGCTGGAGTGGGTGCCCATAGACCACTTGGAGAAAGGAAAGAAACGATCCTTGATCCTCCAAGGAGAGCTGCCCAAGTTCGCCCCAGGTGTGGCAAAGCCCTGCAAAGTGAACTGGGGTGCCTGTCTTGAGTCAACACTCGCTGGAGAGAATGGGCCTGGGGCTCACAGGAAGGAAGGAATTCCTGAGGGCCGCCTGTGCCCCAGGAGGTCACAGCTGCCTGCAAACAGAGGAGAAAAGCCCAGAGATGCCTGACAGTGTAAAGTAAAGGAAGTTGCCTACAACACATGCTGTTGGAGGGGTCACATTTTTCACACGGGCCACAGCCAGCATAGAGTTGCCAGAGAAAAATAGGACACCCCTTTACATCTGAATTTCACATAAAGCAATGAATATGCAAATATGGGATATACCTAGTTGAATAAATATAAGTTTGTACCATTTAGTCAAAACCAGGGAGTTAATTATTGCCCTCCCCATAGGTGGCCTCCAGGGGCTTAGAGCAGGGTGGAGAGGGGTTCTACTGGAGCAAATGCAGACCCAGCATGCCAAGCAAGCCATCCACCTCTCTGAGCCCTTGTTTGGTGGGGCTGGGACCTCTGAGCAAAAACACAGGGGGCGTATTGGGGTGACCTCCCATCCCTCCTGCCTCTGGCTCCCATACACTCCTTTTGGCTCAAAAAAGTAGAAGTGTCTCTCCCCTTGGCCTTGAGCACACACTCCAACAGCAGAAGCCCCAAGGCCCCAAAGGGCTCTCAGCAGCCCCTCAAGATCCCCTTAAGCCTGGCCTCTACTTTTTGACATGGCCTTTGCCTTTTTCTTGGCAGAAGTGCTCTTTGCAAAAGAAGCTTCCCAGGCAGCCTGCAACCCTCATATCCCTTCTGTAGGGCGGCACCAAGGCACCCAGAGGAGAGCATTCCAGAATCACTGTGACTGTTCCCATCCTCTCCCCACTCTCCCACCATGCTCCCAAACCCAGCAACACATCAGAATCTCCCAGGGAAGGTTTCTAGGTTTTTGATGCCCACATCTCACCCCAAGCTTGAATTTATTGGCCTGGGGCACAGCTTGGGCACCAGGATTTTTAAAAAATCTCCTCTAGTGACTCCCATGTATAGCCAGCCAGCGGCCGATGCTCTGCTTTAGGGAATGGACCCAGTGGCACGAATCACGCCCGGAGATGGTGGGGGTTGGGGGGTCCTGAGCATCCTGGCTGGGGCTCGAGAATCCCCACGCAGAAGGCCCAGGTTTGAGCGCACATGCCTTGGGAGATGGGGAGGCCACAGGAAGGGTAGGGTGAGAACAACTCTAGAGTCAGTGGGGCAAGGTCAAGCCCCAGCTCAGCCACTCAGAGGCCTGATGACCTTGCAAGTCACCAGTCCATTCAAGACTCAGTCTCCTCATCTGTAAAGACAGGCAACCCTATTTCCCTCAGAGGTAAGAGTGGACTGCTGCCCGTAAAACACCGTGCACAGTGCTGGCACGCACAGACACGCAATAAGAGGCAGTCATTACTTTTATAACATGAAGCATCTGAACTGCCTTGTTTCAAAGGCGCAACTAGCCATGCCTGGACTATCGATGCCAAACATATGGAACTGGTTATGCTGACTTAGACATTCAACCCTGGCAGTGAAACATGAGCACTGCCTACAGTATAATGTTTACTTAACCAAGGGTTTTCCTCCTCTTTCTCCTTTGGCAGCATGCCAAGGGTCACAGACAGGCTCTGAGGAAACATTTTCTAGCCCGGGTGGTGAAGCAGCCTTCCCCTTTGGGGTCTGGGGTTGATTTTCCCTGAAGCCCCACTGTGGCTTTCATGAGACCCAGGGAGACTCTTAGTCACCAGGTTTAACTCCTCCATCATGCCAGTCCCAAAAAATATGATCCAGCCCACCAATACCT